GCAGGAAGAGAGGAAGACCTGCAGCAGGAAGAGAGGAAGACCTGCTGCGGGAAGAGAGGAAGACCTGCAGCAGGAAGAAGAGAGGAAGACCTGCTGCGGGAAGAGAGGAAGACCTGCAGCAGGAAGAAGAGAGGAAGACCTGCTGCAGGAAGAGAGGAAGACCTGCAGCAGGAAGAGAGGAAGACCTGCTGCGGGAAGAGAGGAAGACCTGCAGCAGGAAGAAGAGAGGAAGACCTGCAGCAGGAAGAGAGGAAGACCTGCAGCAGGAAGAGAGGAAGACCTGCTGCAGGAAGAGAGGAAGACCTGCTGCAGGGAGAAGAGAGGAAGACCTGCAGCAGGAAGAGAGGAAGACCTGCTGCATTCAGCTACAGCAGGATCGAATCATAACAGTCCTCCATGCTGACAGCAGAGACTCATTAAAACTAGCAGATCATGTTTAATCACTGTAGTTTTTTTAAGATGTCTTAACGATTTTTTCTGCACTTTTGCTTCTTTTTAAAAATTCATTTTGAGTTTATCTTTAGTTTCAAATGAAAAATATCCAAATAAATGACAGATTAACAGGTAAAAAATATGATTTCAGCTTCAATTAGAGATCAGAATCAAACATTTAGCTCTGAACATTTCTCTGTTATTCAGAGGAGGATGTGGATTTTGTCTCTCTTAAACTTCATGGTTTCACAGAGGTCCAGTTGTTGCTGGGTTTGAATCCTGCTCTGGGTTTTCCTGCATGTTTTACCACATGGTTCGTTTTTGGTGAGGAAATGTCAGTGAATTAAACTTTATTTAAGAGTAAAACATTTTTATGTAATTTAATAAAGCAGCCATGTTTTAACTCCACCTGGAAACCATCTAAACTGGGAAAGCTGCTGTTTATCCACAGTGGGGCGTAATGACGCAGTTCCACCACTAGAGGGAGATGTTCCACAAGCAGTCAGCTCTTCTCTCCTGTTTCTGTTTCCTGTTTTTCTTTTCGACTAATCAGTTTATTTTATGGGTGAAATTTGGTCAACATGGAAACAAGTTATGAAGAAGAAAATAGTTTGATTTGCAAGAAGCTGGCATCCAGCAGAGCAACACAAGGATGAATAAAACCAACAAAAATTCAATTTATTATTTAAAATTTATTAAATATTGTTGATGTACAATTTACATATTTGTACAAATATTAACAGACAGTTTTTAAGCTAAGCTTTCTAACAATCTACAGCTTATTTTCCTGGTACGTAACTTATCATAACGGCTCCGGTTAGAGTTACTTTACCAGAATTCACCGAATAATTTGCTGAAATGTGTGTAATTTATATGCTAATGCTTTAGCTTTAGCGTTAGCTTCTACAAAAGTCTTTCCTGGCGTAGCGCTGTTTTGCTAGCAGAGCTAATATTTAAGTGCGTTAGCATTAGCGCAGCTAACGTTTTAGCCAGCGGTGAACACAAAGCTGCTGCAGAAAGCATCTTGTAAGATCCAGGAAAGTTTTGATTGTTTGTTATTTTTACCACTAAAAATGGTAAAAAAATAAAAAAACAAACTGAAATGAGATCAACATTCATTAAAATGTCTCGGTTCATAATGTTTGATCACATTTCAGCTTTCCTCTTCATCTTCCTCCTCCTCTTCATCTTCCTCTTGTCCGCCGTTAGCTGTGTTCATTTTCCAGCTCAGAGCCCACTTCCTGTTCGTCGTTTCGTCCACTTCCTGTATGGCGTCCCGGCGGCTCCGGTGCTCCCAGGAGAAGCTCATCACCTCGTCTTCGTCCGTCTTCCTCCAGCGGCAGATTCTCCAGGACTCCTTCCAGGCCCGCCACTCCTCCCCCTCCTCCTCCTCCTCTTCCTCGTCGTCTTCCTCGGCTCCGCCGCGGTGAGCCACGGCGACCATCCAGGAGCGCCGCCAGGAGGAGAAGGAGGCGTTCAGCTTGTGGAACTGCAGGTGCAGCGGAGCGTCAGGTTTGGTTTTCGCTCGTCTCCGTTTCTTCTTCGTCTGTTTTAGTACGCCGCTCTTCGTCTCCTGCTCCTCTTCCTCTGTTTGTTCATTAGCTTTTCCCTCCACAGGATTTTCTTCATCAGTTTCTCGGTTTTCCTCACCTTCATCTTTGTTTTTGTTGATTTCTTCCACCTCTTCAACATCTTCCTCTTCGTCTTCCTCACAGCTCTCATGCTCTTCCTCATCCTCCTCTTCCTCATTGTCCTCCTCATCTTCAGATCGCCTTTGTTTGGTTTCCATCTTCATCCTGTGAATGTTTCCATCGTCATCCTCATCGTCGTTTTCGTCTTTCTGCTTTCCGTTTTCTTCTGCCTCATCTTCCTCCTCTTCATCTTCCTCACCTTCATCATCATCTTCTTCATCATCCTCTACATCAACACTGGAAACTTTCTTCTCCTCTTCCTCCTTCTTTCCCATTTCTCTCTGCTCTTCTTCTTCTTCATCTTCTACATCCAGGCTATCTTCATCCTCATCTTCCTCCTTGTCATCTTTGTTGCTCTTTCTTTCATCTCTAATCTCCTCCTCTTCCTCTTTTCTTTGTTTTTTGTCCGTTTCTCCCTTCTCTTCCTCTTCTTCATCATCGTCTTCTAAATCTGGGCTCTCTTCATCCTCCTCTTCCCCTTTCAGGTTTACATCTTCATCCTTTCCTTTTCCTTTTTCCTTCTCTCCTTCATCTGCATCTTCCTCCTCTTCATCTCCTTTACTTTTGCCGCTTTCTTCATCAAAGTCCAGAAACTCCTCCTCCTCTTCATCATCTTCCTTGTCTTTTCCCAGCTTTGTGCCGTTCTTCTTCTCCTCCTCGTCTTTTTCTGCTCTGTTGTTTTTCTTTCTTTCTTCCTCCTCATCTTCAGCACCTTTATCTTCCTCATTTTCAGTATCTTCATCTTCCTCATCTTCAGCATCTTCATCTTCCTCATCTTCAGCATCTTCATCTTCCTCATCTTCAGCATCCTTCTTCCTCTGCTCTATTGGATCTCGACTCTTCGTTTCTTTTGTTTTGGCGTTTTTCTGTCTTTCTTCATTATTGGCCTGATTTTTCTCCTCTTGCTCCTCCTCGTCCTCCTCATCTTCAGCATCTTCCTCCTCATGATCTTCCTCCTCCTCCTCTTCCTCATCTTCATCATCCTTCTTCCTCTGCTCAGTTTCAAGCTTTTGACTCTTCGTTTTGTTCGTTTTGGTGTTTTGCTCCTCTTCCTCATAAATTTCCTCTTCCTCCGTCTCTTCGTCCTTCATCTTGTCAGCTGACTCGTTGTCCTCCTCCTCTTCCTCAACTGTATTTTCACATTTTTCTTCATCCTGCTCCTCCTTCATCACTTTGACACTATAATGTGTTTCCTCTTCTTCATCTTCTTCACTCTCCTCCTCCTCCTCTTCTTCTCCTCTCTCTGTTTCTTTCTCATCTTCTTCATCTTTATCTTCCTCCTCTTCATCTACACCCTCATCTTCCTCTTTTTCCTGCTCCTTGTTCTTGTTGAAGTTTTGGAACATTTTTGTCCTCCTCTCCTCTTCCTCCTGTTCTTCTACCTCCTCCATTCCTTCATCCTCTTCATCCTCCTCTTCCTCGGTTTCTTCTCCTTCCTCCTCCTCTTCCTCGTCCTCCGGTGTTTTCTGTCCTTTTGGAGCCTTCCAGGCCTCCGTCCAGTCGCTCAGACCGGACCGGTCCAGACCGGAGAACAGGAAGACGTTTATGGCTCTTCGTCTCCTGGACATCTGGTTGCTATGGTGATGGGCAGACAAGATGGACGCCTGACGCCACCTGAGGGGAAACCAGAGGTCAGTTTGGAAAAACCCAACCGTTTATCCATCCAGCGCTAACAAAGGAGCTACATTTTGTTTTAGCATCTTTGCTAAATTAAAAACGTTTAGCGCTCTTAGCTTCCGCTAACCAGATAAATTTGATATTGAAACTTTATTCAACTTCCAGTTGAATAAAGTTTTTTATCTGTGTTGAAGTTTTAGTTTTCGATTGTTAAGAATTCTTCAGATATTTAGACGTTCATATTCATGCTCTTATTTTGAAATTCATGTGGCCTTATTACGCAGCAGATCCATTTCCTCTCCTCATCTCTCTTGACACATGCTAAGTGTCAGCATGGTTAAATTTAGCTTTTAGCATTAGCTTTCACTAAATACCAAGTTGCTGTAGTCCTTTGGCGTTAGCAGAAATAATGCTAACTAGTAGCGCTTTAGGGTTAGCTCAGCTAACGTTGTGGCTAGCAGTGGCCTCCTCTGGTGATGGGAACGTTTGGTGGTGTGTAAACCTCCCTGCTGCTGCTGAAGCCGACCCACCTGACCAGCTGCTGGTAGCCCCAGCAGGAGCTCCAGCTCCTCTGCCGCTCTTCGTGCTCCTCTGGAGGAGCTGCAGCCAGCAGGCAGGATTTGCTCCATCCGGGCATCAGCCAGTCGTTTATCTCCGCTGTGAACGTGGCGGGTCCGTCCGTTGGATCTTCAGCTCCGGAGAGCCTCCATGAATCCTCCCAGCCTTCAGGCTCGTCCTAATTAAAGACCAGAACACAGATTTTCTTTGGTCAGTCAGATTTGGAGCTGAAACTCTGGAAACAGCAGGAAAACAACAACCTGATCCAGCTGCTCCTGAATGAGGTCAAACTTATCGGACTTGTCTGTTGTCTCCTGTTGGAAGCTCTCCCAGCTGCAGTCCCAGTTCTTCTTCTGCTGCCTGAAGGGAAAGTTCATGATCTTCCATGTTCCGGCCCAGACAGGAAGTCGATATTCTCCTATTTCCACTTTGCTGACCGTCGTACTTTCAAACAGAGTGTCCCACTCAAAGTCTCTGTCCTCTGACTGCTCTGACTGAGCCGGGCTTTTCACCTGGAAACAAGAAAAACATTTAGAGAAAACATTTTGTTGATTTCCTGTCTTTGATTCAACCCTTTTCTCAAATCCCATTTATTACAACAATCAAACCCAACATATTAGAGAGGAAAGCTGAAAATCTAAATATATGACCTTTGTTGTGAGATTTGACCCTTAAAGAACAATCAGTTCCACAGTGATGGACACGGCTAACTAAAAGGTTAGCTTTGCTAACCCTTAAATTGCTACACCAACACCATATTTAGCAGAGGCTAATGCTAAAACAATGAAACAACACTGTATTTAGTCTAACCTGATGTCAAAGGGTGTATCTTTAACATATCTAACTGATAATAGTGGAAGGTAATGCTAATCTGCTAATGTGCTATACAAACACAATGTGCTAATGTGCTTAGTGGAAGCTAATGCTACAGCGCTAGACCAACATAGTTTTAGTGGAAGCAACACAGATGTTGAACTTTATTCAACTGAAAGTTGATAAAACAGCCAATAAATTAGCATTTTATAATGTGAGGGAAGCTAAGTGCACTAAACGTTTCAAAGTTAGCAAAAAGCGCTAAACAAAAAAGTTAGCTCTGCTATTAGCGCATTAGTGGGCGTGTCCCATCTGTGCATCCTGACCTGCTTCCAGGAATGACTCCATTTAGGAATCGGACCCGTCCCGTCGGCGTCCGATCCACACGTCTTTGATTTGTACTTCCTGTTCCTGGGACACTCTAAGCTCATCAGCAGCGTCCGCCTCTCTTTAGCCTCTCTGGCCTTCAGGTAGAGGTACTTTGGTGGCTTCAGGCTCATCCAGGATTCCCTCCAGCACAACCCAAACACGTCCACTTCCACTTTCCGTTTTTGCCTGTGACGTTTCGGGGAGGACGACCTCCTGGGGGGCGGCGGCGGCGGCGGAGGCTCCGCTCTGACTTTTGGAGGAGGAGGAACAATTTTAAATTTGATTTTAGGCTTTTTTTCTTCGTCGTCTGTCCGGGTCGTCGCCCTCCTGAAGTCGGAAATCTCATCCTTCACCTGGTCTCCGTTGGACCAGTGGTAGGTCCACTTTGAGAAAAGACTGGAGAATGAAAACCATCTGTTAGATTAAATATGGAAAACTTGTTTTACATGGAACTAAGAAACAGAATTCACTTACATTTCAATCAGTCAATTAAATATGGAGGTCTGGTCCTGACAAAACTGCCCATAGTAGTAATAATAATAATGATAATAATAAAGTACTTAATATTTCAAATCTTGCCTCCAAGACATAAAATATAAGAACTTTCCCATCTTGCCTGATTTTTTTAGTGAGACAAATACATATTTATTGCTTTTATCTGTGTCAATTTTACAGTTTTATTTTGGTGAAATAAGCTGTAAGGAATAAATGTTTTGATCTTTACACTTTAAGGGAGCTCTTCCGTTTCCATTCAGCCTCCTGTTTGCACTGGTCCGCCTCGTTCTGGGCTATTTTCTCCCACTGGTCTCTCAGTCGGCCGTTGCTGAACGCTCTCTTCTCTTCCTTTTTGGACAACATTGTGTTTCCTACGAGAAACACAGATTTATTATCACTGTGAAACAGCATTACAATGATATTTTTAACAACAAAAAAATTGTAGTAAAACAAATAAAATCCAGGTTTGTGTATTAGTCTGGTTTTTGATTTTGATTATCAAAGTTTCTGTGGAAGATATCTATTGAGTTATAATTAGCCAAAAAGCTAAAGTTAGCATAAATACTATCATTATATTGTTGGCTTATACTAGGCGTTTTCAATCCATTCAATAACTTATTGCTTTATTAGTTTCCTTTTATATTTCATCATGTTTTTTTCCCATATACTGTAAAAAATTAAAATAAATTTCTAAACAAAGAAAATATTAGAGGAAAAATAAATCAACATACATATTTTTAAAAGGACAATAAATAAAAAAAGACTAAATAATTACAGAGCAATAAACAATGAAATAAAAACTAAACTAATAAAACTTTGAAAATATAATGGAAAATTAAATAGTAGTGATAATGCTAGATTAATATTGTTGAAAATTACAAAGAAATATTTTATGTCACACTCTATAATCAGATAAGTTGAGAATTTTCTTTTTTTATTTTTTGAAGAACAAATTATTAACATTACCAAGTCATTTATTTATTTATATGTTTTCGGATAATTCTGGCAGGATCAGTCCTCCATACAGTTAGAGTTCCAGGAATGTCACAAGTTGTTTTCTCAGAGAATGAAAACAACAAGCAGCTCTAAAATTAAACTCTGCCCGGCAACAAGAACCTCCAAACTGAGGAAAATGGAGATAAACACAGATATTAAATCACATTCTGTCCATCAACACAAGTTTTATGCTCAGATTTATCACTTTGTTTTCCAGCTGACTTTATATAACTTTAAACCTGTAAATATGGAAAATGTTTAGTTACGTGAAAATGTAAGAGCAGCAGTCAGAGGTTTTTAAAGAACGGCTAATTTTAAAACTAGCATCAGAAGCGTCGACCGTCTGGAGGATTTACAGGATTTCAGCCTCATCCGTCTTAATAAGCGCCGTAAAATTAGGGGATGACTTCAGGGATCCTCGACCACCTGCTGCCTGAGACGCTTCCCCAACAAAACCAAACATGTTTCACAGAAACGATTTAAATTAAATCTTTAACACAAAAGATTAAAGATCTGAAAGAAATTAGGCAGCGGCTGCAGCGCTCCATAGGAAAGAGAAAGTAATGCGGAAAAAACAACTCAAACTCTCCTCCTCTCCACATGCACACCCGTTGCCATGGAAACCGGCTGACATCAGCTCCACTAGCCAACAGAGCGGAGGTGTTACGTTCAAGTGTGTCAGGAGGAACGTCAACCCCTAAAAAAACTCAAACATTTCCCAGAAAATTCAGTCTGTGGCAACTTTATGTTTTCATGCTTGATGTTTATCCTCTGATTTCTAATAATCACCTGAAAGCGAGCGGCGATTGATTAGCTGGTGAGCACCAGCCAGCAGGAACAAAAATGTCTCAGTTGGACACATTTTTTTGGTCTAATTTCAGCATAAAGGTTTGTTGATCTGTAGTTTCTGGAGTTAAACTGCGTCTGTTTGCAGCTTTCAGTGTTTTTAAGGAGCTTCAAACCATCGATCGGTTGGCGCCAAAATGTCAACATGCAGAACCAGAATCCCACAGAAACAAACTAAAAACATCACATGTCAGATAAACGAACATAAATAATGAATCCTCACCTGTTTCTTTGTTTCGTCCTGTTTTTCCTTCCTCTCCGGCTCCACTGATCGTCGTCTCGACGCTCCTGCAGTTGAAGTTTGACTCTCTGTCCTGAATAACCAGCCGGCTTCCCTCCTCCTATTTTTACATCACAACACATCCAGGGCTGCTGCTCTAAATTTAGAGCCGGGTCGAGGCGGCCAGCGGGACAGACGAGGATTAGATGAAAAACACATTAGTGAAATGAATCTTTATTCAACAGGTGCAACAAACCGGACAGCTGCAGAAATACGACAAAGATGAGACTTTAAAGGCTGCAGGTCAGGAGGAGCAGAGACATAAATATAGAACAACAGATATTAGAGCTGCTGTGTGTTCGACAGGTTACTGATAAATGATGCACAAGATCTATAGAAAATAACTAATCTGGTGTTAATTAATGTTACAATGTCTAATTACTGGAATAAGAAACACACAGATCATGCAAAATGTCCAGTATGATATAAATCTCTAAACAGTTTGGTTTATAGATTTAAAGTGAGTCATTTAAATCAGCCACTCTGTGGCTTAAAACTAAGAAAACAACACAATTGGAAATATGTCAGTTTATTTTTTCTTTCTGTTTTTTAAATTATTAATTTATTTTGTTTTTATATTTATTTTTATTTATATTTTGCTCTGAGCTTCTATTATTTAATTTTATTGATTTTATTTTAATTTATTTTTTCAGTTTTTATTTGTTTATTTATTTTTATTATTGTTCTTAATGTATTTAGTTTTTGTTTAATATTTCCTTTAGTTGTGTTTTTATTTATGGCTTTTGGGGCTATTTTTCATTTATTTTAGTGTTTTTTCTTGTTTTTATTATTTATTTTTAATTTTGTGTATAGTTATTTACATTTACACATTTTTATTTATTTTTATAAATTCAGTTTGTGTATTTCCTGTTTGCATGCAGGTTAATTTAGGAACAGGAAGTTAGAAAAGCAGAAGTTTCAAACTCCAGTGAATTTGGGATTATTTATTCCATCCATTTAAGCCAATAAGGAAAGCAGGGAACAGATTTTAGCCGTTTTCATGGTTTAACGTTGAATCTTGTTTAGTAAATGTGATTTTTTTTGCCGAAATATTGAGCAGCTGTTTGTGTAAACCTATAATCTCCTCATGTATAAACAGATCCTTTGTGTGTGTGTGTGTGTGTGTGTGTGTGTGTGTGTGTGTGTGTGTGTGTGTGTGTGTGTGAGAAATGGTCCTGTGTGTTTTCTACATGTGCGCAGGGTTTCTGTGCGGTCTGAGCATGCGCAGTGGCTGCTCTGCAGCAGCAGATCTCCTTCACCGTAACGAGACGCTCAGATCACTCTGATGTCAGAACTGCCAGCTCTATTTTTAACACCACACGGCATTTTTAGGTTTCCATACGTTTGCTGTCAGCTAACAGGAGTTTTTACAGAAAATGGATTTGTTTGGGTGTTTTTCCAGATTGTATTTACCAAACTTTATGAATCGTGGAAATAGTTTTGCTAAATTGACTAAGTTCAGGGTCACAAATATACAACAACAGTATTAAAATACTAATTATTTTTAATATTGCTGTCGCTGTTTGTTCCTCTTTTATTTAATCATCGCTATTTCGTTTCTGTTTCCAGCTGAATATGAAAATACATTTTTCTTTTACTTCTGTTGCCACTAGATGGCTCTGTTGTCTAATTTATCTAGCGCTGCTCAAACCTCACTTTGAAATTTCAAAATGATTTTAAATCATATTTAAAAACGACCAACTTTCAAACATATGTCTTATTCATATGGAGAGAAAGTAAAATCTAAGTTTAAGGGCATTTAATCAGCAGTGATGTTTACTCCTGGTAAAATAATAAAAAATAAAGCAAATTTCTGAATTTTGTAGCCATCTACAGATTGTCACACAGAGAAGCTGCAGCGCCCATGTGTTCTTGCGCTTAAAAAATTAGATAGACATATTTAAATATAAAGCTATAAACTTTCATTTTGAACAGTAAAGATGTTTTTTTTAACAATAATATTTTTTCTCAATTTTCATATTGATTTTTATTTTCTTTGCTTAGTTTATATAAATTATAATTTAATTATAATTAAAAGAAGTTCCACATATAAATCTGCAGCCTTATTCCTAAATTCAAAGATAAAATGACAAAAAAGACGTCAACCAATGATACTGAACTCCAAGTTATTTGGTCTAGAGATTGACTTGGTCACTTTTTGGTAATTTTTAAGTTATAAATCACAGCAGAGCCACAACAGTTTGACTATATATAATATACACTGCTCAAAAAAATAAAGGGAACACTCAAATAACACATCCTAGATCTGAATGAATGAAATATTCTCATTGAATTCTTTGTTCTGTACAAAGTTGAATGTGCTGACAACAAAATCACACAAAAATCATCAATGGAAATCAAATTTACTAACCAATGTGATACATGTCTTACCAGATCTATCCACTAGATGGAGTCAGTGAGTCTGGTATGTAAGGTTGAGGAAACTGCAGTAATAGACTGAATAAAGACATGATACTGTTTGTTTTTACTCCTTTATTAGGAGACATTAACATTTCATTCTTCAACAAACAGTTCTGTATATCTTTCTCAGACTGTTTTAATATTCTTAAAACTACACCTACTCGTTTCTTCCTTACATCCTTATCCCTCTTCTTCTTTGCCGTTTTTCCACAAATAGCGATTTAAAACTATATTGTTCTGGTTTATTTGTCTGAAACACACCTTGCATCCACACTGTTCTGTGCTAACTATCAAAAAGACATTCTCATTTTATGGGCCAAATGCAGCTCTTTGGGTTAAACTAATTTCTTGAAGCAATTGTTTTGGTTTGCCTTTAGGTCAGTACAGTGGAAGGAGGAACTTCCAGGATTCATCCCAGCCAGATATTGGCTTAAAGCTCATCTGTTTTTTCATATTTTCGGGACGGACAAAGAATCTCCAAGACTCTCCCCATTCCTCCAGGAACTTCTTATAGGCGCTGTCTTCAGGCATAAGCTTACTGTTAGAACCGCTGCCTTTCTTGGGACGAGGTTGGGTTTTACCCAGCAGGTGGCATCCTGCCCACTTCCTCTCCGATTGTTTCTCCTTCTCCATGCCAGAGTATAGTTGCTTCCTCATTTTGATCTTTGTTGGTAAAATCACCCTTTGATCACTGAGTTCTTTGGATCTACCTTTGGTTTTAAGCTGGTCATTGGGTTTCTGCAGGAACTGGTAGGAGTTTGCCCAAAATGTGGCTGAAGCAAACACTTTGTTTAGGTCGGCTTTATTGTTGGTTTGTATCTTGTTTTTGCTTGACCATAAAACCTGGTGGTAACCAGGGTTCTGGGGAGACTCCATCCAGGGCTGATCCAGTTGGGGCGTTGGGTTGGCGAGTCTGAAAGATCTTCCCCACTTACATCCACATTCACTCAGGATGGGATGTTGCTGCTGAGCTGAACTACTTTTGCTTGACTGATTGCTTAGAAGTGATTTGATGCTCCATGAGGAGATCCACTGTTTCTCAGGGTATCTTTGGACAAATATCTTGTTGTCAAAGGATCGGCTCACTTTAGCTTTCGCTCCTTCTGAGGACATTATGCTTTTTGGGCATTGGATCTCAGTGGATTCATCCACCCACTTGTCTGTCGATACTAGTCCAGTCCAGTGTGGTGTGTGGTAGATAGACCACTTCCAGGATTCCCTCCACTGAGCAAATGATGGTTTGTCATGTCTCATTTCTGTTTCTGTGATCATCCAGGAATCTTGCCAGTCTGATATGGACTTGGCATGACTTCCATGTTCCCTTGAGTTATCAGGAACATTCAACTTTCTTTTGTCGACTTGATCTTTGGCTTGTGCAGGTTCTGATCGATGCTGGTGCCTAGAGAATTTCCAGGATTCTCCCCAAACCCGTTCACTTGTTGGGCCATTTTTAGGGAATTCCTCCACTGAAATCTCACTCTGGTGCCTCTCCCAGTTCACCCGGACTTGCGTTGAGGTGAACCAACCTTGTTGCCACAGCTCAGGGTTCTGATTCAGAGGCCGGCAGGTAAATTTCCAGGAGTCTTTCCACTCTGACGCATTGGCCTTTGAATCTTCCCCTTTCTCTGACTCTCTGAAAGGCTTCAGAGGATCCGGCTTGTACCTTCTCCTCTCCTGTCTCATTCTGTGTTTTATTGCCTTCCAGGAGTCCCTCCATTCAGAAGGTGGAAGTATTTTCTGCAGGTGCTTTAGAAGAAGTATCTTTGACTCGGGGAGCTCCCTCCTTGTGTGATGTATCACATCACGTCTTAGTTGCTCGTACCTTGGGTCTACTTTCTCTGTCGAGTAATTGACCTGAGGGATCTTTTCCACCCTTTGAGTCTCAATCTTTGGTGGTAAGGCTTTGAGGACTTTATCTATCTCCGCACAAGGTTTTGAGGTATTCTTCGGTATCTCCCATGACTTGCTCCATTCACTCATCGCCTCAAATTTATCGCAGAACTGAAGGTCTCTCTTATGAGTTGTGGAAGTGATTTTGTGAAAACCATCTCTTTCCAGGCTGTGATCGTCAAGGCCGTGATGTTGGTTCTGAGAGGAACTCTGCTTGTTGTTGAAGACGCCGCCTGCTGTTTTCCATGAACTGGCCCATTCTGGACTGAGCGGTTTCTGGTGACGAGGAAGCTTGAAGCTGTTGCTGCCGTGATGGTTGAGAAGCCTCCAACATTCCTCCCATTCTGGGTTTATTTCTCTTCCCATATCTTTATTGTAATCAACTGTTGCATTCAGTAAATCTTCGTTGCCTGACTTGGTGGACGTCCAGGAATCACTCCACTCTGATGAACACAAGAGTTCATTTTTGTGCTGGGTTTCCACCAGTGAAGTGAAAAATCCATGTGTAGAGGCTTTCTCTTCATCTTCAGCAGAATCTTTCTTGATTTTCTCAAATCTTTTCCAGGATGTTTGCCATTCGTCAGCGGGCAGATTCAGGTCTAGCTCCTGTGATTGCACCATCTTGTAAAAGTCTTTTCTCCAGAGATGATAGCTTTCTGGATCCACCAGGTTGGGCTCGTTTGGCCACGGCTTACCCTCTTCGGCTCGAGGTTGACAGGGAGCAAACATCCAGCACTGCCCCCAGTCTGGACTTGCGCCCTCTGCTGGTGTCGGTAAGGACTTGTTGAACTTCCAGGCCTTGCCCCACACCAGAGACGACGGCTGAGTTTTGGTGATTGACATGAGTAGCTGAAGTTTGTTGACACTTTTGTTTTGCACTTTTTTGTCCTTGAGATTTGGGGCTTGGGCAGAAAAGCTTTTCGTCTGGACTCCTGGTCTGCCAACGGGACCCGAACCTCTGCCAAGAGGAACTGCCTGAGGAACCAGCGGCTGCTTGCTCTTCCAGATGTTGTCGTCTGGCTGGATATCAGAAGGTGTAACTTTCCTCTCCACTCTTTTGTATTTCCCCATCTTGGCAGTCATACGGTCTGCCCACTCCTTGTTGATTCTGT